GGGTCTGAAGGGTATTTCCAGTGAAGAGTTTAAATGTGGTTTTTGCCCATATGTGTGAAAATTTTCCCAAGGTCGCAACTCTGAAGGACAGTTTGTATTTGGATGCAGACATTGTGGTATGTTTGCTTTAAAAGATTGATTATTTTATAGCTACGACTCATAAAGCCTGTGGTCATAAAACACCTCACTCTATCTTGGAGGCAGACCACAGTTGTGTAAATAATGGTGCCAGGTTCTAAGTCAGCTAAGTCCACTCTGGCCCTAACGTGGCTGGCCTTCACTCCACACCAAAGTAGTCAGGACCACTTCAATTCCCACATAACAAATATGGCCTCTAGCTCACAAAGGCAAATACAAGAGGAAACTTTGTTTCAAAAGAATAAATATTGTTAAAGAATAGGAAGTTTCTTAAAAATAAAAATAGCTTAAAAGATAGAAATAAGCATAACATTGGTTTGGGGACATTTTTATTTGTTATAAAGGGCTGTAAAATTAAAAGAGAAAAAAAGGCAACAATTCTATCTTAATTCCACATCTGCTACTTGCCAGGATCACCACACTCTGACGGCTTTGTCTCCAACAGCCTTGCTTTGTCACAATTCAGTTCCAACTGACTTAACTGTTCTCTTTGTCACTTTCTAGTCACACTCCCCACATCAGCTGTTTGCTATTTTAGAAGCTCCTAATCGCCTACAATTTAGTATTCTATACCTATTACCTCCACATATGGTCTGCCCATTCCCTTAATATCCTAAAATTCAGGATTGTGGTTTCCTGATAAAAGACTAGTCTTTAAGTCAAACAGTAATGGAGTCAAATCTTGGCTTTTATTAATAGTTGTGACCTCAGACAATGTAATCAAGCTTCCACAGCTTTTCCAAATTAAAAAAAAAATTATGTAAGTTCTTCTAAATTATATATGTTCATTAAAAAAACTGAAAAAGGTATGATACAAGGCAAATGTTGATCAGTTTGGTCTATTTTGAATGTATAGAGTACATATATAATTGTCAGGAAATAGGAGCATGATACAATATTTATTGGTCTGCAGTTTGCTTTGTTCCCCTTTACAACATTACCAGTAATTCAGCCTCTGTTTACACATCTCTCTATAGTGACCAAGAGCTACTTGGTTGTAAAACTAGTCCTTTCTGTTGCTACTATACTGTCTTTGTAGCTGATATTGGAAGGTTCTCCATTTTGCTTTTAAATCTTTCTCCCTCCACCTGCATTAATTTGCCCTACTACTGTCCCCTGGAACAACACATAAATCTAATCCCTTTGCACATGTCAGCCCTAAACTACTAAAAGTAAGCCTTTGTATCTCCATGACTCTTTTCTTCTTCAAATTAAAAAGCTTGAGATTTTTGGGGTTTTTTCCACTTCTCATCCAGCATTATTTCTGGGTCCTTGGTCATCCCTACAATAGCACCCACCAACGCTTTAGCCTCTCTCACCCCTGGAGACCTCCCTCAGTCCCATATATTACCTGAAACGCTTACCTTCTCGGTGCAAATTCATCCTCTTCCCAAGCTTCTATTGGACTTCACTCTGTTTTCATTTCTCTCCTCAGCTAGACTATAGAAGTTATGTTTGTGTTTCTTTTGGAACAAGCTACCTACCCACTCTGCCCCTCTGCCATCCTCACCCTCACAGGAGAGTATCTCAAAGCTATCTTTCTTTTGGTTTACTTTAACAGCTCTTTCCTCTTTTTGCAGAGGAAAATGTAACCAGTGCATTTTACATACATTGTTTCAATCTTTAAAACATTCTCAAAAGCTAACCGATAAATAAATCAAACTGTGTTATGAAGTGAAAAAAGAAATGATCAAACATAAAAGAGAATTGTATTTATTATCTGAGCCCAGTTTTATTTTTGTAAATGTGTATGTGTGTTGCCTAAAAATGATTACTCTGGAGTCAGGCTGCTAGGGTTCAAATCACAGCTTCTTCACAGCTGTGTGACCTCTCTGGCTCCTGCTTCTTCATCTGTAAGATGAGGATTATGGTAACCATGCACTAAGGTTGTTATGAAGATTACACGAGTTACCACTAACACAGGTCAAGTGCCTAGGTCAGTAGTTGGCACTAAGCAGCAATATGCTTGCTGCTATGATGACGAAGGTGGGAAAACCACTTTTTGTCTTTCTGGGTCTCAGTCTCCTAACGTGTAAAATGAGAAAGAAGGGGTAAGTGTGACAACAGTGAGGGTAATACCATATAATCCTAGAGCCCTTGACATTTTACAAAACACTTCCATATGTGATAGTTCACTGGAAAACACTCATTTGTATCTCCCATGCTCTCAACTATCCTGATTTGCTGGAACAGCTCACCAACGTGCTGCAAAGTATAAATACTGACTCTGACCCCTGGCTGCCATTTAGCAGAAAGCATCAACGTCCTTAAATAGCCTATGCCTCTTCCAGTGACTGACTTGCTATCTGTAAAATAGCTTAGACCTATAACAGCTGCAATCCCAAATGGCACTAAGAGACTGGGAAGAAAGAGACAGGGAAAGAATGAGACAAAGTCATTCATATTTATTGAGCATCTAGAGCAGCGGTTCTCAACCTGTGGGTCGTGACCCCTTTGGGGGTCGAACGACCCTTTCACAGGGGTCGCCAGGTACTCGTATGTGGGCGTATCTGCATGTGGGCCTGAAGATGGATAGAGGAGTGGTGTCTCGGTTCCTAGGACCATCGAAAATGTGTGTTTTCCTATGGTCTTAGGCGACCCCCGTGAAAGGTTGAGAACCGCTGATCTAGAGTATAGGTCATTATAATGTCAATTGCATTGAGTCCTCACAACAACCTAGGTGGAAGATTTTAATGCCCATATGAGATAATTTCCTGATAGAGGTTCAATATCAGTGCTAAGGTCACATAGCTACTAACTTTATGCCAGGATGAAAGCCTGACTGAGCCCAAAGCTTGAGCTTATGTTGAAGTTCCATGCTGCAGCACTGAGGTTTGCAATCTACCAGAATTGGATGTTGGTTATCACTCTAACTTCTCTGCTAAACTTCAAGCCCTGAAGTGCTCTGTTGATAAATGGTACTGAGAACATGATGAGGTAAGGGAATTTATTTTATTATGAACAACTAGCCTATAGATGGCGATATCTTTCAGTCATGACTGACCCAGTCTGATACAATGAAAGTTTTAATGCAAAAATGTCACAAGATTGCCACAGGGATACGAAAGACAGTTTGGGGAATATAACCAATAATGTTGTAGAGATTTTGTAGGGTATCCAATTGACACTTGTCTTATTAAGGAGTCCACTTCATGGACGGTGTAGATGCCTGGCCACTCGGCTGTACACCTGAAGCTAAAGCTGAATAATGCTGAATGTCAACTATAATTTAATATAGATATAGTCACAGGATGTGGAGTACAGCATAGGGAATAGAGTCAATGGAATTGTAACAGCTACTATATACAATGTCAGAGGAGTAATAGATTAGGGAAGGGGGGGTTATCATTTTGTGAGGGGTATAAATGTCTAACGATTACACCTGAAACAGGTGTTTTGTACACCTGAAACTAATAAAAAAAAAAGTCACTGTATTTTGATGGTACCTTGAGACAGCTATACCTCGCAAGTACACCTGGTAAATGGTCGAAACAGCTCCTGAGCAATGATATTTCTTACATTTTGCAGTACAACAGAGAACAAATGTCTGAAACGTGATCATTCTTTCACATAACAAATATTGTCAGTGAATACACTCATGACCTATTTTTTGTCCTCGTTCTTCCTCATTTTTTTCCCACCAACACACTTCATTGCTCCGCTTATTTTATGGGTTATAGCTTTAAGGGCACATGAGGATAAAGTCAGCATAATATACATTGCTGAAAAGTCTTGTCAGTCAACTGGGACTTGCTTGCCTGTTCAAAGGAAGCAGCAAAATGTGATTATCTATGCATGCCACCAAAACATACTAATGGAAAATAGAATTAAATAAGTTAATGCTGAAAAATCATAATAAGGAAGCAAAGACGCCACGATCTTGAAATCCTGAAGACGTCATTGTGTTTGGCAAACTCCATTAGATTAGAATAGTTGGGTTAAATAAACAAAATCACAATTACATATTAAGATATATCTACATTATCTTCATTGTCATTTTAACAAACAGTTACTAGACCAGGCAAGGTATGCTATATATTATTACACTTGGGTCTCACAATAATCCTATGAGATAGACACAATTATTATACCCATACCTAACGAGGAAACTGAGACACAGAATGTTATATAAATTCCCATTGTCATAGAACAAAACAACGGTAGTACGAGGATTCATACCCCAGCAGCCAGACTCCAAAGACCACACTTTCTCAAGGCAAGTCTCTGATTTTCTCCGAAAAATGACCAGATATGCAGGTGTATGCCCCAAAACAGGAACTGTTTAGCTTAATAGTTTCCATGAGACTTCCTAATCCATTAAAACAATCCTGCACTAAACAATTGGTGTGATGTAAATGAAAGCAAAGATTTGCATATGCTAAGAAAGCCAAAGCTACCATGATCACATGAACTAGGGTCACTTCACTGACCTGTTGGATCACAGATCACACACTTGAGTTGGAATTACACTGGGATTTTTTGGTATGGTTGGAGCTAACTTGTGGTGAATATACTTTTATAAAATTGCAGTTTATTCTTACTATTACTTTTCCTCTAAGCCTTTGACAACAAGATCTATAGCTGTTACAGGAGAAAGGTAAGGGGGAAATTGTCAGCCTGTGGGACAACTTATCACTGGTTTGTTTCAGAGCCTGGAGTTTACAAACTTTCCCCTCCTTGTTACTCCACAAAGGTCCTTATCCTTCCAGAAAGTTTCTCTTGCCAAAGCCAAGGATTGATAAGGAATGAGGACAGAACAGCAAGTGACTTGTCTCAAGTGGCTTATTGACATCGCTAACATTTTTATGACAGGGTAACACCCATTAAACTCATATGCCCCCTCATAGATAGCAATAATCTTCTTGAGGTGCTTTCTCCCTGTGGGGAGGGAATGGGGTGTGATGAGGTGGGGAACCTGCCATAATATAAGTCTTTCTCTCTCTCCATTTTCAAGTTTAATGCAACTCAAACTAAGTCACAGAAGGGAATGACCCCATTACAGGAGCTAATTGAAGTTGTCCACGAGGTACAACTGAAAGGCAAAGGGAGGAGAACAACTAGTGACAAGGGAGCTAAGAGACCCCACCCTGGACAACGCACCCTTGTGTTATAAACATCTGCCACAGGAGCATGATGAATGGAAGATGGCACAGCCCTCGGAGTCAGAAGGTCTGGATCCAAATGCTACTCACTCTGTAGTCTTGGGTAAGCTCCTTTTCCTGCTGAGGCTCTAACTGCCTCACTGTTATGAGGGTAAAGCCTCACCAGAGGGTGGGGAGGAACTGGTGTGACCTTGTGCAGGGATACATATTCTAGGTCACTCCAGGGGCCTGTGTCAAATGCCGGTTGTGAGCTTGTTTTTCAGAGGCCTTGCCTGTCCCTCTAACCAGGGGCTGGTCCTTGATCCTTGAACTTCTTCCCAAGCCCAGAAGAGGTTAAAAATCTGATGTTTTCGGTGTGACCCCAGTCAGTCTTATTAATATACATCCCTTCCTGTTTCTGTACAGTGAGAAAGGAAGAGGGAAGCAACGTCTGAGGAGAGCAGCAGGGGCCACACCAAGTGAGGGCCTCAGCAGGGTCAGAAAGAGCTCGCACAAGCTGAGTCAGGCCTGTGTTTTTTCCTGTTAAATGATTCACAGGCCGAGGAAAATGGGTCTGAGATGCACAAACTCTTCTCTGCCTTTCATGAGCTTCCAAATGAGGTGGTGATTTTTGTTTGTGTTTTTCCTATGTCACTTGTCTCTCCTTGGAAACACGATTGCTGTGTTTTCCAACCCAGGTTGGGGATTCCCCCACCTCATTTCAATGCCCTCAGGTGAAAGGGCTATATCAAAGAAACACTGGTCATTTTAAATGTTATTCACATTCCTTAAGCTTCCTTGTATTTTTTACTCAAGTAGGTTAAATTATAAATAAACTAAATTCCATAGCATATTTTATATTATACAATGAAGCCTGAGCTCTTTAGACATGTGAATTTTCTATGTGTCTTAAAAAGTTCACTGAAAACATCTAAGACTGTTACCAATTGTTTTGCGTGGAAATTCTTTCTGGAATATATAACATACATAACATTCTTCTTTGTAATAAAATTTAACCTTTAATTGATTATTAAAAGTCGTTATCCTTATATCCTTTTAACACTCCCAGCTACCATTTCACTCTCTTCTCATGTTTAAGTGAAATCAATTTTAGTGGAGGCCCTTCTTCCACATTCTGCATATCCATAGCCATAATACCCTCTTTAGCCAAGTTGTTCAGGAAGCGATGGTTTTACTAATTTGGCTGAATCTGGATAGTGATGACAACCTCCAGCTTAAGACCCTCCAGTAATTTCTCACTATAGTTGGAATATTAGCCAAACTCCTTTCTGTGACCTGCAGAGCCCTATTGGGTCTAGCCCTTGCCTTTTCTCCAACTAGTCAACCCCTCATCCACTGTGATCCACTCACTGGCTTTCTCTCTGTTCCTCCAAAGAGCAAAGTTGTCTCAGATTCTTTGTACCTACTATCACCACCCTGATTCTCCTCTCATTTTCATCTGACTGCCTTCTTCTCTTTATTTAGGTCTAAGTCCAAATGCCACTTCCTCAGGGAAGCCATCACTACCTCCCACATCAAGCAGCCTGTAACCTCGTTCATGCTTTACTTTCATCCCATTAGTTAAAGCACTATTGGAATACTTTAATTTGTTTTCTTATTTATTAGTTTTTATTGATATTCAATCTCTGTCATATCTGTTATATTCCATGACAGGAAGGCATTTATCTGTCTTGTTCACTGCTATATCACAGTTTCCAGGACAGCTCCCAGCACATGGAAGACTCTCAACAAATTCTGTTGATGGAATAAATCCTGGCTCATCTCCACACCTACTCAAATCTCACCTCTTTCAATTATGGGGAATTATCAATTACAGTGATACCCTCATATCACTGTCAAAACAGTAAGAAGCTGGTAATGTCCAATGTCATTTGACCCAATTTTAGAAAGAGACAAAAGAGCTAAGAGAATGTTGAGGGCATGATCTAATTTTGGGGGTAGTACTTTCAAAACTTTTCCAACAAGATATAATTAATAGTTTACAATAGTGAATAATAATACAGAGGGATCTAAACAAAAGTAAAAAATATGCCTCCAAGGACAATATATGTTTGAAGTCTCACAATTTATTTTTAAAATTCAGATGAATTTTATATTTTAATTCATTATATATCTGTGTTTGATTTAATATGAAAGAAATTTTCCCTCAAATTGTTGACAAAAATGTGCCCTCCAAGATGTGTCCTCTTTACCCTGGAAAACCACCAAGAACCACCAAGTACATATGATCCAAGCTGATAATCATCTGGAAATAATCCTGGAGGAGTGCTGTAGGAAGCACAGTTCCCACCCAGTCCTTGCTGCCCCGCTCACTTGCCCCATCTTCATTTCAGGGAGGACGAGCTCTGGAACAAAGACCCCTAAGTGAACTAAGAGTCCCAAGGGCTGTCAAATTCAGAGATGGAAAAAAAGGCTAAAAGTTCTATCCTTCTACATCACTCTCTTTTCAGACATCTCTTCTAAATCATTTCCCTGCTCTCTTTCTTTCCATGTGCTTGGTGAAGTAAGCGGTCATTCCTGAGAGGAGAGACCTTAGAATGACTCAGTTTTCTCAAGACCATCCTGGTTATTTACGGTTGTTGTCCTGGCAGTATTAATAGTACTTCCTTTACATTTGTACAGCATATGGTCACTCTAAGGGACACCTTCTCCACTCTTACCCTCACTTAAAAAGACAATCAGGAACCAAACTAATGAGTCATCATAAGATGATGTAAGTCTCCTTCCAGTTCATCTTCAAGTCATCAAGGAAAAGAAGTCTTTGTGACTCAGATCAGTTGTTTATTTCATCCATTAAGGAAATCACAGAAGTATTTGGGGTCCAAACCTTGGTTCACAGTAATGAAGATTCCTTTGTCTGATCTATTTCTGCTCTTAGGAATCTATAATCACTGTTGGCTGTTCATTGAAGATTGGAGGTTCAAGATTCAGGCTATCATGCATATATTATAATAATAATATTTGTAGGGATAGGACAGAAGAAGCAACCAGGAAGGTAAGGGTGATTTGGGTTAATTAGTAGAAGTATTTTAAAATAAAATAAAATGTGACAAATGGAAAATATTCAGAGATGCCACATGAATTTAAATAATCAGCTGTTTCAATGACCTAGCATTTGATGGCATGAAAGAGAAGGCCATTATTCCATGAATGTACCAAAAAACAGATTGCTGAGATAGTAATTATAGTGGCTACTGTGGGAGGTATACTAGACCGATGGTCCCAGCTGTGGTCCTCTGAAATCCATCATTGCATTTGTTCTGAGGCCATGCTTTCTGTGGCTGCTCCCAGGCATGACTGAGCACAGCAGCACTAAGGCAGGCCCGTTCCTGGAAGACTCAGGATTCCTCTGATGGGCACCTTTAGCTTGAGGACTCCCAGTTAGTCTTGCCAGAATTTTCTCAGAATTGAAATCCTGAGGCCTTTCTTCCTTATTTTCCTTCCCTGTCTCCTTCACAGGGGGTTCAGTCCTGCACAGTGGTCTGATGGGCCTCACAGCCTCCTCCAGCTCCCTCTCCATCTTCTCCCACAAAGTTTTTCTCAAAAAATATCATGGACATCTAATCCCATTTTGGCATCTTCTTCTCAGAGGACCTGAACTAACATAGTAATTCAAGTAGGGATCTATTTGAGGGACAGAAAGAATTAGGCAATTTAATGCACTTAGGATAATTTGATCCAAGACTAAGGAGAAGATTAATAAGTGATCATAAAAGAAAAGGTTTGACCAGATTTAAGAGGGAGCTTTCTGAGAATAAGTTGATGGTAGCAGAAATGGTTGTGATGGTGGAGATGGAGATGGGAGTAATCGTGGTCTGAAATTATCCATTTGTATATTTGATGCTATTTATATGCTTCATTAGGTCCAAAGGCCAATTAGAGAATCTAAAGCGATTTCGTTGTTTTTGGCAACGCAGATATAATTTAATTGATGTATGCGGGTTGGAGCCCTTTTAAGAGGACTAGGTATTTTTATTAGGGCTTTGGGTTACATTGCAGTTTTCAGGTTTTTGTTTTAATGTATTGAATAATTAGAAAAAGTAAATCAAAAGGTTACATTTTGCATCAAATATCAAAATTGTCAGCCCATAGGAAAGCATTTATAATACTATAAAACAGTAACTTCATTAACTTACATTTTTCTATTCCTTGAAAGTCTCCAAGTGTGTGGGATTTTGCATCCCCAATGAGATACAGTAATGTTTGTAAAACTGAATTGAAAGTTGTTTGACATACATTATTACATTTCAACCTAGCATGGACCCAGTGAATTAAGGAAGGCAGGTAGGATTAAAATTCATTTGTACTGAAGATGAAACTGAGGCTCAGGGGAGCTAAGTCGCTAACATATCATAAAATCTAACCTAGAAGCCAGGTTGTAGAAGGCAGCATTTCCAGAAATAACTCCCAAGATTCCAAACTCTAACCACTGCTGTGTGAATATGATGAGACATCACTCATTCCCTGATTATGCTTTTTAGATGGCATAGTTGACCTTAAAAAAAAAAGATAATCCAGGTGAAACTAATCCAATTACATTAGCCCTTAAAAGCTTCTCTGCTGGTAGTAGAAGGGAAAAAAAGTCAGAGAGAAATAATAGAAGGGGAAATCAGAGCTAGATTCGAAGCATGGGCATTCCATGTACTAATGCTGGCTGAAGATGGAGGGGTTCGTGTGGAAGATCGTGAAAAGGAAATGAATTCTGCCAACAACCAGTGAGATTAGAAAGGGTCCCTAGTGCCAGATGAGAATGGCAGCCTCAGCTGATACCTAGATTTTGACCTTATGAGACTCTAAGCAGAGAACCCAGCTGAGCTGCACCACTCCCAGACTTCTGATCCAAGGAATTGTGGGATAATAGATGGGTGTTATTTTAAGTCACCATATCTGTAGTGATTTGTTACACAGCAAACAAAAAGCTAATACATGGGTTTTCTGATTCCATCACTGTTTTCACCATACCACTCTTACTGTTAACCAATGCCAATAAAAATAAACAACAGTAAACTGAAAAGTCACCATACTAACAGTCTAGTTTTGCTAATTTAATTTTGGTTACAATTTTAGCTTTCTAAGATAGATTTACATTAGGCCTGGCCTCAT